AGAGAGAGAGAGAGAGAGAGAGAGAGAGAGAGAGAGAGAGAGAGAGAGAGAGAGAGAGAAAGAGAATAGCAAAGTTGAGCGTAGATAGTCGGGGGTAGGGAGTCGAAGTCAGGCATAGAGAGTCGAAGTTGAGCGAAGTAGCATAGAGTCGTGTTGTAGAGAGTCGAAGTCAAGTGCAGTAGGGTAGAGTAGCGTAGAGAGAGAGAGAGAGAGAGAGAGAGAGAGAGAGAGAGAGAGAGCTAGGGGATAAGACATTTGCAAGAGGGGGAGGGGGGGCGGAGGGGGAGTAATGCAAGTGGCATGGTGCTACGTGATCTCTCTCTCACATCGCTTCTGCATACACGCAGAGTGACAGTCCACAACGTCGGTGGGGAAAGATGGTCGGGACAGTGGGGGAGTAGGGTTGGCGCAAGGGCCAGGAGGATCAGCGCAATGGGGGAAGAGAATCGGCACAGTGAAGCAGGAGGGTGGGCGTGGTGGCTGGGCGCAGTCGGGGAGTAGGAGGGCTGGCGCAGTGGGGAGGAGAGGTTCGGTGCAGTGGGGGAGGAGGGTGGACGCCATGGCTGGGCACGGTGGGGGAGGAAGGTGGACGTCGTGGCTGGGCATGGTGGGGGAGGCGAGTGGGCGCAGTTGGGAAGGAGGGCGGGCGCAGTTGGGGAGGAGGGTGATAGCGGTATAGTGGGAGCGGAATAGTGGAAGTGGGAGCGCCACACGGCGGTGAAAGGGAAGGGGAGGGGGGCACCCGAGAGAGAGAGAGAGAGAGAGAGAGAGAGAGAGAGAGAGAGAGAGAGAGAGAGAGGGAGGGAGAGGGAGGGAGGGAGGGAGGGAGGGAGGACGCTGCTGTGCAACCAGCGGGATGGGATGATGTCATAGTGCTACAGCGAGGCCACTGTCCGTACTATGCCATTAATGTATGCCTCCTTGCTTACAATTGCAATCCTTATACTATTTCTCATTCCGCATAGCACTTGGTTTGAACTTAGAAGTCCAGAGGGGAAAATAGGCTTCCATACGAACCGCCTGCAAAGCGC